TATATTAAGTGTAGATTGCAGTTAGTGCAGTTTTCTTTAAATCGGTTCAAATGTAAATACCACTTCCATATTTACAAATGCAAAGGTGTTAACTGATATTGATATGTGTTTAGATATTGTTGACTGATATTCATCAGACAGTGTTGTACTCATATACCATAACACATCAGCTCGAATCGAATTTCATTGAAAATATACTCGAATGGACCAAAGGAAATTCGAGACATACTGTGGTTGGATAGATGTCAGTAAATATATTTAATTTTTGTTGTCATTTTTTGCCAATCGATTTGAGACCGAGAAGACTAAAAATTTGTCTTCACACCATCGAAGTTCAAGAAAGTCACTATCATTCGCCATAAGTTAATTTTTTTCCTCCGTTTCATTTTTATTATTTGGCTGATGTTTTATTTTTAAGAACAATGCATATGAAAATGTATGCAAAACATACATGTGTGCATAAGTATGTATGTGGCTTGTGTTTGTAAGATGTCGGGTACAAATTCCAACAGACGGTTGTCGGTTCAGCGACTTTAAACTCTCATCTCATTGCATGAATGATCGGTCGGTCGGTATGGTTGCAAAGCCGCTTACTTGGATGTATTCATGTTCGTGTCCATCGCTTTGAACTTGAATAGCATTCACGACATTTTTTACCATACACTCTTCATTTCAGACATACAGTATTGTTCGAAACCTAAGCAACTTTTTCTTAGTAAGTAATCATGGTATTTTATTATCTTGTTAAATTGAAAGTACTTATTTTATTAACTATTGCATTATACAGTCGACACTATACAGTCGACTCCGCTTTACTGAAACGGAAAAAATTGGATTTTTGAACAGAAAATAATTTCGGTTATGCGAACTCATCATAAGCGAAACATTTTTTACTTTTACGAATTTCAATAATCTCTATATCATAGCGAATTTGTAAGTTTCAATGTTTTTTTTAAGAAAATAGACGATAGAAATTAACATGTTCACTGCTTATGGAAATTTTATTATGAACTGTAAAACTTATGAACTTGTAACGAAATCCATCGTCTGCCTGTTACAATCGTAAGATCTATCTTAAATACAACGTTTGATTTTATGAACCTAAAATATCGGCCGATTTTAAGTCTTTTTAACAGCTGGCTAAGCTGTAATACCCAATATGAGGTTGTAAATGAGTATAATACTTCCTTGCAAAACTTGTCACCAGACCTCAATCCCATTGAGAACCTTTTCAGCATTTTAAAACGAAGGATTGGAACACGTCGCCTTAAAAACAGATAGGAACTAATGAACTGCTTAAAATCAGAGTGGGAAGCTATACCAACAACAATTCTAACAAATCTTATAGAATCAATGCCAAAAATATGTGCGGCAGTGATAAAAAAATAACGGTTATCATACGATATATTGAAAGTTGCTTAGGTTTCGAATAGCTGCTTTGTGAGTAAATTTTGTTTTCATTTCTTTACTTTTTTCCAAATAAATATAATTTAAATTTGTTGTTATTTTCAGATTATAGACACATAGTAGAATAGTAAATAAAATATATATTTTTTATAAATCAATTTAACGATATCATATAAGACCATGACTACGTACTAAGAAAAAGTTGCTTAGGTTTCGAACAATACTGTATATGTACTATGTATGTAGTAAATGGCTTCGTTGGGAAATGTATCCTCTTTTCTGTTTGAAGTTTTAAATCTCATTTTGGTTGGGGATAATAAAGACCCCTACTGCTTTTAATACTGATCGGTTTGGGATTGAAATGAACCGATAACTTTAGTACCTCAAGAGGCCACAATTATTAGTCGAAACGAACCAAAACTTTTGTGTTTAAAATGACAAAATTTGCATCACTCCGGTAAAATTTTTTACGAAAAGTAGTATAAGGCGACCAGATTTGGAATAAAGATGACATATAAAATTCACATTTGATTTTTTACATATTTTACAGAACAAGAACAGACCATATTAAAGTCCATTTTCGGATCTGATGCAAATCTTGGTTGTCTAGAAAAGTTTGCAAAACATATTAATACCACTTTACAATATTTTTGAAACCAATTAAACTCAAATCTTTAAATATGTCAACAATAGAAAAAACTGACTTTCAAAATAAAAAAGTCCTTATTTATCCTGTTATTTAATATTTATTATCCTCTTATTTAATATGAATTCTAATATAGACTGGTGGCCAAAAAGAAACTAAAATTGCAAGGTTAATAAATGCCGCAAAACTTTTTCCAAAATAAAGATATCGTGTTGTTTTTTTTCAGTTTTAAATCGGACACTTGATTCACTTAAAAAAAAAAAACAAAACCAATAATGCAAAATTCATTAATAAGTAAATAATAATGTATGGATAAGGAAATTGTCTCAATTTTTACTTGGACAAAACTATAGCAACTCTGCAGTACAAACATGTGTTATTTAGTTAGTTATTTTTACCGTTATAATTAATATGTTTTGGTTTCTACAACTATTTCGATTCTTATAGATTATTTTCAAATGGATTTTATGGATTTTTATCAATTATAAAAATGTCTAGAATGTCCGGAAACTATCAAGAAAGTTCTTTAGTTTGTGAAAAGAATCGGAAAGCCATGTTTGCTTTCGCAAAAGCTCATACTAGTTGGAATCCGACTCAGTGGAGACATATTATGCTCTCGGATGAATTGAAGTTCAATATATTTATGAGATTTATGATGTAATTCCTCGGATTGTCTGTACAAATGTGTTGGAAAACGCAATGGTTCCCTTCGCTGAAGAAAATATATCGCTTGTTTGGGTATTTCACCTTGAAATTTACCACCAAACATACACAAAACAGGGTTTAATAATGGCCAACATGCCGATGATTGTGTTGGTCATTATTCTATAGAAAAATCTTTGGACTATCATAGATAGCAAAACCAAAAGAGTTTTACAAACAAACACACATAACCTCTTCCTAAAGGTACAGGATGCAATATTCCCAATGATCAAATTGAGCATTTTCTTGATTCAATATCTCGTAGGTGTGCTTCCGAAATGAAAACTAATAGTAGCAAATTTTGCTTATTTTTAAGAAAAAATCAAAAAGTTTCTTTAGTTGTGACCAAGCAAAATTTGGGTCAATCTTGTTATCCATAGAATATTTTTTTTTCATTTCCAAATGAATTTTGCGTTTATTTTTTAAAACAAATAAATTGCCTATTTATTTCTGAAAAAACGTACACTACAACTTCATTTTCAAAAAAAGTTACATTTATTCAGTTTGCATTTCCAGTTGCTTTAGGTGTGGCCACCAGTGTATATTTAGGGGTCAGGAGTTCAGTGGTAGGTGTGTATGGTCGGTCCCGTCTGAATATACTGCACGGCTCACTGGTTTCATAATAGTAATGAATATAGAAAATAGCACTTCAAAATTGAAAATTAATGTTTCTAATTTAGTAAATTTATATAAAAAATATATAAGTAGAAAATTAAAATTTTAGTTCCAAAAGGGAAACATTTAAAATAAGTGCATATTCTAGAAAATATTATAAGTTTAAATAGGTCTCTTACACTACAATAAAATCGAAATATCGTTTCCATTTTATTTGGAATTGGATAATAGCTTCTTTGGGGCAGTTTTTGTATGTAATAATATTAAAAAGAAGAGCCTTGATATCAAAATTTTAAATTGCACAAATCGAAACCAAAACTAATTCATTAGGGGTCGTACCTAAATTCATGCGTATGCGTACGATTTTATTCACCTCCAAAGTTAAATACATGTATTTCAATGAATGTTACCCAAATACGCATTGTGTATAAAAATATAGAGTTGAAAATTTTCAACATTGAAAATGCGTATTTTTAATTTTTTGTGTGTTTGAAAATAGAATTTCAGTCATTGAAAAATTTGTGTTTCTATAAAAGTAAACATTTTTTGATCAATTAAAAAAAAATGTTTTCATCCATTTTCGCCGTTTTCAATTGGCACAGATGCAAATAAAGCCCTTGCGTATTTGGGTAATATGGACGTCTTTCGAAATTGTTTTCGATTCCTCCATTACAACATTTGAAATGTTTTCCCACTTTTTAGGAAGGGCAAAGATTATCTTCATGGGTCACTCGTAATTCTGATTTCCAGAATTTTCGTGTATTATTTTTTTTTTAATATAGCCATATATATGTAAGTATGTATTTAATTTATTTTATATTTATTTTAAGAATATTCTCGAATGCAGATTATTTTTTAAAATATAAAACGTTTATCTCATCCATTAAGCAGCAAGCAAATTGCTATATTGGTATTGTATTATCGCTTTTTTACAAAGTCAACAACAATGACAACCACAAATAAACAAGAATTTTCTTGAATTTTTGATGCACTGACAATTTCTAAAAGAAGAGGCTGTTACAATTCATTGAACACTTGAATTTTGTTAAGAGAGAATATTCCACCCTTTTCTACAAAGAGTATGAAAATATTTCTCTTCTTTGTGGCATTTTCTGAGCGACTAAAAGAGATAATCAAAAATGTTGCTCCATTGCTCTTTACGCTGCGTATTACTATGAGAGCGAAGGAACTTTCGCGCAAAAACGACCGTTAAACACAAATAAAATAAACGATGAACTTCATCAGCTGGCAAGCTATTTGTGATGAGTAAAACATTGCAAACACATACACACAAACCTCTATATCGTATACGTGAAAAGATTCACAGCTGTCTGGCTTTTACTAGAACTGTCGAGTAAACAAAGAATTCGCATATGTTGCAAGTGTGAGGCCCCCATACCCCCTACCCGCTGACGAAGTGAAACCATAGGCAGGCAGACGCCTGCTGTTGGAGGTATAAATACGGCAAGCTCGTCCACAGCTGGCATCAGTTGTATACAAACAATACAAAGCGTTATAACAAGAGCAAAGTAACAAAACTTCCTCGCGACTATTCTCAAAGCGTTTTTATCCCAATCTTTGTATCTTTTGAAAGCGAACGAAAGGAATCAAAAAGCAAATCAAATTAAAAATGTCAAGCCTACCACTTTTGTTGAACTTGGCCAACGACCTCAACCGCCTTTCCTTGGCTGTATCGCCATTCTATGACTTGCCGATTGGCCATCACAGACATCCCTATTATATGGCCTTAATTGGTGGCGACGCACCTCAACGACAAGAAGAAGGCGGTGGACCAGTCTCAGCCATTGGCAAGGATGGTTTCCAAGTTTGCATGGACGTACAGCAATTCAAGCCCAGCGAGCTGAATGTCAAAGTCACCGATAACTGTGTCATTGTCGAGGGCAAACATGAGGAACGTGAAGACGACCATGGCTACATCTCCAGAAGCTTCACCAGGCGCTATGTCTTGCCCAAAGGCTATGATCCCAATAAAGTTGTATCGACTCTCTCGTCCGATGGTGTACTGACAGTCAGCGTTCCCAAGCCACAAATCGAAGAGAAATCCAATGAGCGTATTATTCAAATCCAACAGGTTGGTCCAGCCCATCTCAATGTAAAGCAGAACCCCAAGGAATCCGAAGGTGGTGATAAGAAGAAGCCGGAAGAGGAAAAGAAAAAATAACTGCGCCACAGGTGTTCCATTAACTAAAAAGTCTGAATTGTAAAGCATTTCTTGTCATTCTCATGTGTATAAAAAGTGTGTGTTGCAGCATTGTTTTCCTCCCGACCGGTGGATATGTGCTGCTTCATTCAAGTCATTTCTCTAGAATTTAACAGTATTTTGTAAGATTTGTTATAGTTGATTAAAAAATTCTTTAAATAAATTATTAAAAAAAAACAACAACAAAAACATAAAAGTTGTGCCGAGTTTTCTTTATTTTGTGCGGGGGAAATCATGGAATTATTTTAGGCGACCAGATTTTTAAAACGAAAATACACCTAAGTCTGTTTTTACACGGCCTTTTGGTACACGGTTTTGATATAACACGGGTTGAAAATTGAATATTTTTAATTTTTTACACGATTTTATTCTATTTAGCACGGTTTGCAATTTATGTACTTAAATATTTTTTTTTTTGTCCAATTTAATTTTTGCGAAGTATGTTCATATCACAAAAAAGTATTTATGAAAGAAAAAAGTCTGAAACCATCGATGGTATCGATAGTTTGCGAACACTAGCTTAAAGATTTAAGTGAATTTCCCCTTTAGCGCGTACAAACAATTTTTACTGGTCAAAGCAAATGTGAATAGCACTAATATACCGTGTAAAAACAGACTTAGGTGTAGATGACAAGCAGAAAAAAGTAAATTATATTAATTATTATTTATGCTTTTTGTTGGACATTTGGTCTATTAACAAAATAAAAATCATAATTTCTTTTCACTATACTGCTTATTCTGAATATAGCATTTTTTTACTTTAGTTATTTTTCATTTTGTTTATTATTTACTTAAATTAAAAAAACATACATAAGAGCATGGTACAATTATAAAAGGTAACAGCAAATCCCAGCTGATTTGATTCCAACGTAATACTAGTGTCAATATGAATTTGACAAATTATGTTTTTAAAAATCACCCAACAGGAAAATTGGGAACGCATACAATTTGAAATTGTTCTTTATTAAATGTGCTCCCGTATTCAATTTACGCAATGCTGGGAAAGTTTGAGGAAGCAAATCTTTCTTCAAGGAATAACTCGCTATTCCCAGCATTTCCATATGAGTTACACATATATATAGCAATGGCTCAATTATAGGAAAGATGTGGAAGCGATAGAAATATAAATTTGATAGATTTTCATTCATGTTTTTCAATTTTTATTTTGAGGATTCGAAAATATTTCATTTTCAAAACAAAAATAATTTGATGATAATTTGTTTGTTTGTTTACATTTTTCTGTCAAAAACACTAGTAGAACTTAAACAACAAATTTCCATGTGGTTCTTGTATCGTTTTTTTGTACAACAACACTTGCTGTTACCTTCTATTATTATACCATGACATAAGAGAAAAGTAATTTTTTAATAAAAATAATAGTATGTGTATAAAACATACATTTTGACTTACTTGTAAATATATAAAATGAGCTAAAAAGTCGTTAATTACGGCCTTGTCTAGGCGAATAATCTTTGGATCTTTATATAAGGAACATAGCAAAGAAGAGTACCTATGTCGACTATGTTTTCCAAGAATATTTTACAGCCCATAGGCCACAAGGCATATTAAATTACATTCACTTTGATGACAAATATTTTTTAAAGTTAAAAACAATAAAAGTGGGTTTTTTTATATCGGGGTAACCTAGAACCCAAAATATCAAATTACAATTAATTCGGTCGCATATCTTGTCCGAGATCCCTAAAAATACCAAAATTTAATCATTTATAATTTTTATATAAATTTGTTATCCAATTAGAACTCAAAATATGAAATAACAGATAATTCGGTTGAAATTTTTGTCTAAAAATCCTGAAAACATGTAAAATACCTTTTCTAAATATTTCACTGAAATTTCATAAAATTTATTAATTTGTTTTAATTTACAAAAATAAATATTGATCAAGGTTTTAATAATATAGATGAAAAAATGATTGATTATAGAAAAAGATGACAGATAGAGGACATACATTTTATAAATGACAGATAGTTAAAATAGATGATTGTCCTCTAAAAAAGAGGACGTATGGTCACCTTAAATGAATACAATGTAGGGCATAGCTAACATCTGATTATAATTTGTGTTCTCAAAATCGCTTGTTCTATTTGACAAATATACGTTTGAAACTTCTAATTAAAATTGAAAAACATGAATGAAAATCTATCAAATTTATATTCCTATCACGTCCACGCCTTTCCATTGCTACTAATATTTAAAACACATACATATGAAAATGTTAGAAATCGCGAATTATAAATGATGAAAGATTTGCTGCTGCAAACTTTCCCAGAAGGTCAGAATACAAGAGGATATTTTATAAAAAACACATTCGAATTTTATGCGTATCGAATTTTTCTGAGGTACAACATCACAATGTTTTTGGCTGCAGTCTTCGGAGAATTGCGAAAAAACATCACACATAGACTTAAAACAGCGCCTTTCTGATCGAACAAAAGGTAAAATACATTTCAAAAAAGGATTTTACCTATAGATAGACCTATGGTTTCTTCACCGAAGTTGCTTAGAATTGTCCATAGAATCATCCTAGGGGTTGGATTTAATGAACAAAAAATTTAGCCCGCGCTAATATATATAGACTGGTTGCCAAATCTAAAACAAATGAAATTGTGAACTGAATAAATGACCTTTAACTTTTTTGAAAATAAAGTTATAGTGAAAGTTTTTTCAGAAATAAATAAGTAAATTATTCATAAAAAACATAAAATATAAGTTTTTTTCTTTTTTCTGTTTTTTTTTTAATAAAAAATATTCTTTGGAAAACTAAATTGACCCTAATTTTTGTTTGGTCAAAACTATAGAAATGTTTTGATTTTTTCTTATAAATAAGGCACGTAAAACGCATTGCATTAATAAAATGCTCAATGGACCCTTGGGTATACTATGCCTTGCATCCTGGACTTCTGGGAAGAGGTTATGCTTGTTTGTTTGTGAAACTCTTTTGATTTTACTAGCTATGCAACTCCAAAGATTTTTCTGTGGGGTAAAGATCTGATGATTGTATGGGCTATTATAAAACCCTGATTTTCGACTCCCGCAACCATTTTTCCACATTTGTCACAATGCGATCCATTACTCCATAAATCCACTAAAAATTTATCGAATTCCATAAAAAGAAAAACAAACAAAAAACTATGGCATGAGCCTTTCAGTTTTGGACTGACTCTTTTATATTTAGCTTTAATTCTTCCGAGAGCATAATATTTCTCCACTGGATCGGATTCCAATTAGTATTAGGTTTTGCGAAAGGCAATTTGGCTTTCTGATTCTTTTCAGAAATAAAAAAAAACTTTCTGGACAGTTCGTCCAGGAAAGTCAAAGGAGTATGTTGGTACTACTGTCAAAGCAACTGGTGGACTTTCCGTTAAAGTTATGCTACTTATCTACAAACAAGTAATAAGGCCACTAATTGGGTATGCCTTCCCTGTTTGGTTTGGGATCTCTGTTCCCACCAAATGGAGATGCTGCGCATTTGGGAGAGACGAATCCTTAGGTCCTGCTTAGACTCAAGGCCAGAACAAGGAGTATATGGAATCTGGCGACTACCTACTAAAAGAGTAGTGTATGATTCCATCGACAACTTTAGAAAATAAGTTAGTATGAGATAGCCTATTACACGAGAAAGACATGCCTCCGAACAAGGAGTATATGGAATCCGGCGACTACCTACTAAAAGAGTAGTGTATGATTCCATCGACTTCAGCCGAATATATAACATTCTAATGGGAGGCGCTTTTAGATTCCTAGACCGAGCGGCAACTTTAGAAAATAAGTTAGTTAGAGATAGAACGAAACAGACGTTGAAAGGTTAATTCGGGCCAACTATAAGCCTCCGAGCAATTTTGCCACTTTGAATGAAGAAAATCTTCTATATAGAGATGACCAGCTCCTCTTCTATCATCGTAGGTTTGGGACACATGAAATAGGTAGTACTGTCTATAACACACATCAGTAGCGAGTAAAGTATATATTGTATTAAAAACGCACAATTTCTTTAATGAAATAACTCTAAGGCGCATCTGGTCTATTTCATTTTCTATAAATCTACAAAGAACAAAACCCAAATTTGTATAATTTTTTGATTTAACTTTTATTTTCTATTAAATATCAGTTTCAAAACTTAACACTAATCAGACTAATATTCTCAACGAACAACGAGGAAAGAAATGAAAATCAATGCCATAAATGCTATGAACTGTTCCAAACATTTCATATTTACAATTTCGATTGAGCTTCCGGTTTCTTTTCATTTTCCTGGGATTCTTTGGGATTCAACTTCACATTCAGATGAGCTGGCCCAACTTGTTGTATTTGCACAATTCGTTCGTCTGTTTTATTTTCGATTTGGGGTTTTGGCACAGAGACCGTTAGAACGCCATCAGATGACAAAGTGGATACCACCTGGTTGGGATCGTAGCCTTTGGGCAGGGCGTAACGTCGAACAAAACTGCGCGATATATAACCACGGTCATCTTCACGTTCTTCGTGTTTGCCCTCGACAACAATACAATTGTCCGTGACCTTGACATTGAGTTCGTTCGGTTTGAATTGCTGGACATCAATGCAGACCTGGAAGCCATCTTTGCCAATGGTTGAAACCGGGCCAGCTAACTCATCGCCGATTCGTGGTGGATCACCACCAACTAGACTGGGGGTGTACAAGCGTCTGAGATAAGAAAACGGTGCATCATAGAAAGGCGAGGCCAAAGAGAGGCGGTTCAGATCATCGGCCAAACTCAGAAGAAGTGGTAAATTTGCCATTTTTTATGAGGTTGTTTTTTTGTAATAACAGGAAGGAAAAAGTAAGAATTTTGTTTGTTTTTTTTTTCTAGTAGAAGATGCTTTATCGATTTGTTGTATTCAACTGACGTCCCCTGAGTAAATGCTGGGCATATTTATACTGGTCGAAGTAGTTATAGCTACACAGAACATGGCACAATATCTCTTTCTCTCAGCTAATTGCGATTCATTGCAGTTCCGAAGTCCCTCGACGATTCTAGAGTAATGACCAAAGTCACCGAATGACACCGGCTATGTTTTCATCATTCGTATACGCATGTTTGCCAATTGTTGCACTTATCGGTTGACGATTTTGTTTATCTTTTGTTTTGTTTATTTATTTTTTATTTATTTTTGTTTGCGGAAAGTGAGAGTAAGTACATTATACTTTTTGTTTCAATGGACATGAGTGGGAAACGTAAACAAAATTAATTTTTTAAGTAATAAAATATTAAAAAAATATATTTGAGAATTAAATAGAAATATTTTAAATATTAAATATTGAATGGTGACAAATTCCAAGTAAAAATGGTATCCTACTGCCATGAATGTAGAACGACCGAGAACAAAACAAAAACATAACTTCTCACAGGACGCACTCACCTAATGTGCATGTTTGATGAAATACACACACACACACGCATCCACATAAAATTCATGAATCGTTTGGGTGCGCTTTGACATTCAATGACATTCCTATGGATGATGACGACTCGAAAGTTCTTACAGCCAAACATTGAAATTTTCTGGAACAAGACCAAAGTACAAAATAGGGGTTGATAGATTCCTTTTTTTATGTCTACCTCTTGAGTATAACTGTTTGGAAACAACAAAAACACATTCGACTTACGTAAGCAGGAGATTTTATTTCAAGTTTCGAAAATACATATTCCAATAACATTGACGGGATATCATAATGAATACATATGTATGTATTTGCCAAACATCGTTTTATGAAGGCAATATAAGAAAAAATAAACACAATACTGCCATGTTCTGACGGGCATTTGTACTTTGTTTACAATTACGAACATGAATTTACCCGTTCATACAACATTATTCATAGTTCATGCCATCAGAGTTTATTTGTTCATACATATATCGACTCAGAAAGTGAACCATGGAATCTATTTCGTTTCCATTTGCCGGTTACAAACATATCCACAAAATACCCTATACCACAGTGTGGTGATGGATATAAAAAGGTTCAATTCGGTAGGCTGGCGCTCACGATAACTCTTGAAGAAAGTAACCTATTTCGTCCAAACTTTATACATTCTAATATTTCTTTCAAATTTAATTCAAGTTCGAAGAAGGAATTATCGATCCACTTTTTTTGGTACCTCCCCCACGATAACTCTTTAAGAAAGTAACCTATTTCGTCCAAACTTTACACATTATAATATTTCTTTCAAATTTAATTCAAGTTCGAAGAAGGAATTATCGATCCACTTTTTCTGGTACCTCCCCCACAACGGAAAAGTTTGCAGAAAAAATAGATGTAATATATTACGCGAACGAATTATCCGATTTGACCAAATATGGTTTTTTTCGATTTATTCTTCTAGTACAATGTTTTAAATTTCTAAATCTAACTTAAAAGGAATGAGGTAAGCGATTTGGTCTGTGATGAAGGCACCAATTATGAGTGGTACATCACAATTTGATTGCCAGTATACAACTCTTTCCGTGAACTTTAAAATTTTTTCGACGATGCTATTATGGAATTCATTTGACTTTTTATTAATTAGGGCACTTACAAATGCTTGCAGGGTTTTTTTTTTGTACAATTACACAAACTTATATGTATGTATGTACATTTCCTAAAAAATACAGTGTGAAAAAGGAATTTTCTACACATAGAAACGACAAAAATAACCGTTATTATTAACCTAGAAAAATATTCGAATTTCGAAACAGTAAACGCTGTTTCATATAACAAGTATATATGTGAGTGCGTGTGTGTGTTGGAATTAAAAAAAAACTTGCCGGCAACCATGCACAACAACAAAACAACTGAATTTGTTTCTCTTCAACCGACAAACCAAACAAGTGAGTGTTCTCTTATTTGATTTTCTCTTTCGAGTCGAAAGTACACATTTCTCGAAAGAGAGAAACAAATTCATTCTGTTGTCTAGAAATTTCAAGAGAAATATCTAGAATTTTCTCTTAGTCATTTGAAGAGTATATAAACAGCTGTTACTTCCCCAGTCGACAGTTCAGTTTGAATTGAAAATTCAAATAAAGCGCAGCGTTCAACAACAAACCAAAAACTCAAAAAAAAAACGCATTTGTTTCTTGATTTAAATTCAATCATCGGAAAAACAAACGAAACACAGTAACAACATGTCGCTAATTCCATTGCTCCGTGAACTCGATGACACCTTCAGCGAAGTTGAAGATTTCTTGGAGGCACCATTTGGTCTTGGCATACATCCAGTGGACATCTTTAGACCTCGTCATCGTTCTCTGATGTTGCATCCACGTAACCGCTACTGCCCATACATTGCCAGATATGGTCGTCCACGCAAAGAATCCTCTTCGGAAAAGTCAGAGCTAATTCCCACTGTAGGCAAGGATGGTTTCCAAGTGTGCATGGACGTATCCCAGTTCACACCAAATGAATTGACGGTCAAAACTGTGGACAGAATGGTGGTTGTTGAAGGAAAACACGAGGAACGTGAAGATGAGCATGGTTTTGTTCAACGGCACTTCATTCGCAAATATTCACTGCCCAAAGGTTACGATCCCAAAGATGTCGTCTCCACAATATCGTCCGATGGTGTGTTGACCGTTAAGGCACCGCCACCAGCAATCAAGGGTAAAAACAACAACGAACGTATTGTACAAATCCAGCAGACTGGACCAGCACATTTGAATGTTAAGCAGCCGGAACAGCTGAAGAAAGGCGATGAATCTACAGAGAAAATGGAAACCAAATAATCTCCACCATTTATTTTGTTAAATCCATTCCCATACATCTCTCCGACTGATTAGGTTTAAAATCACCAAAAAAAAAGCTCTTCACTGCATTTTACTGGTTTTAGATTTAGAAATTACCTTGTTAAGTTTTTTGAATACAAAATAAAAAAATAAATAAAACATGAATATAAAACCCTAAAAGTTTGGTTTAATTTTTCTTTTTGAGTTATGTATTCGTTTAATGGGAGTCAATTAACAAGAAATTTACCGTAATAGGTTATGTTATATGCAGCCGAACTTTTCTCTCATACATGTGTTCTTAGACTGCAAGAACCTGAAATGTCAAATTTTATACAGCCACTCCGATTGAATAGTGTGTCAAGGACCAGTGAAACATGAACATACTGGTTAACATAGGCGTTTATCTCTGTTCATTCGTGGCTGTGATTGATATATTTTTGGATCAAATATAATTAGTACTACCCAAGCATTTGATTTGATTGCAATACATGCCAATATTAACCGATATTTCCTCACATACTGCACAAATATTCCGGTCTCTTCAATAAAGCTTTTCGAAATTGAATCGTTCCTTTAGGTTATTTCCTATCTTCTGAGTTTTTATTTCAAATATTTATTTTAAGAATATTTATTGATATCTCATAATTCTATCAATAGAGTATTGGGTCGTGCAGTAATCGTAGTCTATTATATGTTTGGTATCGGTTTGGTTAGATATATCAATCCATATTTTGGTATAATTTTAGATTTTGGAACAGTGAGGGCTAAAAAAATAATTAGATGTTAGATGGTCACAAAGTTTTCAATTCAACTCAACTCTTACTATACTGACAATAATCAATACAGAATTTGCTAATAATAAATTGATTATCCCTATACGCTGATTGAAGACCTTCAACGTCGGACTGTTGAATTTTTCGCAACAACAGCTATAAATTGAAATCTTTTTTAATTCTTGAGAAACTATCAAGATCTATAACCCCAAAAGTAAGAATGACAACCTCAAAAAATGTATAAATATGATGCAAAGAACAAGTGTTTTGTACAAAAAATAAGAGAATGGTTGGAAAATAGAAAACTGAAGCACAGTATATCAAATGTAAAAGCCTTGACATTATTAGGCAAGGAAGGCCATTTTCGGATGGTCCTTATGTTAAAGGGATTATAGTAAAAACACCGCAAACGCTAAAACAGTAACTCAAAATCGGGGAATTTCTTCCCATGTCGCGCATTGCTCGCAATAGCCTCCGGTCTAGATCAGGCATTTTTTCAATTGCGATCGACAAGAGCACTGACATTGATTTGTATATAAAAAACCGGAGATTTCTTTCTTGTAAGGTTTTTTTCTTATATGGAATTATCGGAAATAAGAAAGTTGTTTCTTATAAGCATACATACCCATTTAAAATGTCTTTCTTATATGATTATATTCTCTCAACGTAAAATGTTTAAATGAAATGTAAATGTATTTTTAACGTTGTTCATCGAAAATGCAAAAAGGTGTAACTAAAAACAAAATTGAAAATTGGCGTTTTGAATGAATATTGTGAATGTCAATAAACTACATGTGTTGACAAAGTTTTACACGTCTGCGGTCAAAAAAGGAGCTTCTATTAACAAAAAACAAAAAGACGTAACTACAAGTGGATTTATAATAATAATATAATTGAAAACAAATTTTGTTTTATTTAGGTATACATCTGTCAGTGTATTAAAAGTGAACTTAGAAAATTCTTCATTTGACATGTTTATAGTTTTCATTCAAAACAGTTTTTCGCTTCTCCTACACAATTATGCTTTTGTTAGTTACGCCTTTTTGCATTTTAGCTAACGATATGTAGCTTAAGAAAAAACATGTGTTCCTTTAAGAGTGAACACAATAAGGCCACCAAGTGAAATGACTGATGCCTCGTAAACTTTAACCTATCCTAAACCCCGACTCAGATTAGTATCCGTCCAATGTAGATATATTTATTAGCATAGCCCTGTAAAGCTTCTGACGACTGATCGTTTCTTTATGCCAAAATTTTAATGTTTAACACCAACTTAAAACCCACCCAAATGACTTCCACATACATATGTACTTTTTAGTTAAATTTTTTGTTGTTTATTAAAACTTAACAATAGAATACATACAAACTTAAATATAATCCTAAATTAAAATTAATGAAATCGGAAATGAACACGGTACAAATTAGTAGCAAATTGTACCATGGAAATGAATTTAAAACTAGTCAGTCGGGAATTATTGTAGTGAATTGGTTCGGTGTTATTTGGTGTCCATTTTTTCGGCAGCACCATTGCATGCTTCCACGTTCTTTTTCAATTCATCCGGTTGTTTTACATTCAGATGGGCTGGACCGGTCTGTTGAATTTGAACTATACGTTCGTTATTCGCTTTTCCCTTTATTGCCGGTGGGGGTGCTTTAACAGTTAACACACCATCTGACGATATTGTGGAAACGACATCTTTGGGATCATAACCTTTGGGCAGTGTATATTTACGTACAAATTGTCTCTGGATTAGGCCGTGCTCATCTTCACGTTCTTCGTGCTTTCCTTCAACCACCACCATGCGATCGACAGTCTTCACTGTTAGTTCATTTGGTTTGAATTGTGAAACATCCATGCAGACCTGGAAACCATCCTTTCCCACTGTGGGAACGACGAGATCAGATTTGTCTGCATGCGACGACTCTTTACGTGGACGAGTGTATTTTATTAGATAGGGATAATAGCGATTGCGTGGACGTAGTACTAAGGAGCGATGATGACGGGGTCTGAAGATGTCCACTGGATGTATTCCAAGACCAAATGGAGCCTCCAAAAGTTCTTCAAATTCGCTGAAGGAGTCATCCAGTTCACGTAGTAGAGGAATTATCGACATCTTTGTTCTTTGGTTATTGCTAAATTCTTCTTTTTATTGAAATGAAAAATTGTTTCTTGCTTTGCCTATTGGTTTTTTTTTTTTTTTTTTTTCTTTGAACGTTGACCAACAAACGATTTTTGTGATTTTTTATTCTGCTCTGTAGCTTTTTCAGCTGTGGATATGCCTTTTGTCGAGATTTAATTCAAACTGAACATACCGCGTGTGACGCCATTGCGGCTTATATACTCTTTACTTAACAAAGAGTTTTTTCTCGATTTCTCTTTTAATATTTTCTAGAAAACATTATGAAAGAGAGAGAGAGAGATAGAGAACGAAATGGTCCGACCGGGTTGTCTTTTCGAATTGTGAGAGGGGAGAGATAACAACGAAAAAGCATTTTTTGAGACCGGTATATTTAATAGTTTGCATATGTACATAGGTAAATATGTATGTACACTTTTGTTAATAACCCCATGGAAATTCTTGTCTGGAATATTGCAGACATTAACAAATTCTTGCTATTTATCATTCATATCCTTTTTTATTAATATTTATAATATATAGTATGTATGTACATGTAGTTGCTTACAACATTCATGAACCTTCTAGTTATTTCCCCAATCCAATGAAATGTTGCGTAGATAAAAATACATACAGACATACATTCATTTGTTTATGTTTTGGTTTTGATAAGATTCACGTTTGCAATGCGTCTCTATAGAATTACGGGTATTATCGCTGCCTGCTGAATCATCGCTAACAACAATTTGTTTAATAAAACAACAACACCAAATCAAAACAAACAAAACTTTTATTTTTGTTTCAAGTTCGCATAGCAAAAACGAAGCATGCGAATATTATTTTATGGGAGAGAGTGGTTAACAATCGAAACAAAAGCAGAACCATTCGTTGTTTTGTTTTGCATGGTTGCCGGGCTGGCCCTACCCCAACAAATCTATAATCTAATAAGTGTATTCATGGAATATTTATTTCTATACCTATTTCTAGTAGTTCTATCACATTGGACATTGCTGTCAGAATTACGTGGACGAATTTTTATTCTTTTTTCGTGCCAGTATAGTTAATATATTTTACTATTTATTGATTTTTGTTTTTATGAAAATTTTGAATAAATCACATACTATTTCCTTCATATTTTTATTTGTTTGCTGGTACTTTTACCCTACACTTTTAAGTACAGTATTTTTCGGTTAATTGGTTTACCCGCTTAATTGAACCACATGATGGGACAACAAAATATTGCATACGAAAACACATGTAAATTTCCTCGGATAATTAATCCCTGCTAATTGATTTTCCCGTTTAATTGGTTCAAAATTCATGTCATCGAAAATAAATTTCCTGTTATTTTTCACCGGTTAATGGCATTATTATTGAAAAAAATCTGGCATTTTTATAGGCCCATGGTTCCTTTTGAGAATATGAATAGAATCACTTTCTGAGTCGATTTATGCATGTCCGTCCGTCTGTTGATGGGTTTTTGGAAATTCGTACTAGAACGGTAGAAAAGTACTAAATGTGATACCATTTGTATTTGGCGAACCGGTGGAGCTAGAACTCTGAAATTTGGGTTGGTGGTCGTTGATTGAGTGTAGGATAGATGTACTAAAGGGTTTTTTGGAAATTTGTACTATAACTATCCGAAAAGTACGAAAATGTACTAAATTTGGTACAATTTCGTAGCATGTGAATGGAGTGAGCTAAAAACTTGAAATTTAGTATGTAAATTAACGTTGAGAAATAGGTTCGATATGAGGAGAGTTTGGAAAGTGTGTACTCATGTGTACGAAAAGTACTATATGGTACTATATTTGGTACAAATTTGATTTGGAGGTACAAATCGAGCTGGAATCCTGAAATTGAAATTAACATTACCATCGGAGTGTAGGATTGGGATATGTACGTAGTTTTGGAAATTTTTACTTATGTGTACAAAAAGTACTAAATCGTACAATAATTGGTACAATTTGGATTTGGGTGAACCGATAGAGCTGGAACAATGAAGTTTGGAGTTAGGATCATTGTAGGGATGTAGGATTAGGGTCAGGATTCAGTTTAAGAAAATAATACTTATGGGTACTAAATGGTACTAAATTTTAGTACAATTAGA